ATTTTGACAAATTGTAAGACATCTTCCTCATTCCACACCATCAAAATGTCGACCATGTCCTGTTGATGGGTTGCAATATTAGACCTTATCTAGCCCTGATCTATCTTGCAGTTTAATTTTACCCATCATATTAGACCAAATGTGCCATGCCCGTATCTTTGAAAAATGGTGCCCGATGATTTATGAATTTGAGTATTTTCTCTCAAACTGTTCTAGCTATACCATGTGTATACCAATTATATTTTTGATACAATACATAGAAATTATTAGATGAGCATATTTCCACAAAATTACTATTCATACATTAGGAAAACAAATTTATTATTAATTAGCTTATGAAACAGGCTACGGGTACATTGCCTGATTATTGTACAGTGCCAAATGGTGTACAGCCGTGTCTGTTTTCAGAAGCACTCACAAACATGTACATCTTAACATGTCAGGAATATAAGCAATAGTTATCAAGCAAGTAGAAATCGCAGTAATGTTTGTAACTAATTAAGAGTCCATGAATGACAATATTTTGCGTTGTTCACATAGTAATTTACTGCATTCTGCCAGTCCAGTATCAATGTTTCTGTATTCATGTCAAAAAGTCACATGAAGTCTAAACCAATGTGTCTCTTATTGCACTGATTTTGAATATTACTTGCCCATTGCCAACCATCTGAAGCCTTCTCTCAACAGTTGTTTTCCCACTGTTCCTGAAATACAGGTCGTCAGTAGCCCAACACTTTTACATCTTTCCATTATGGATAAAAAAAAGTCTTTCATATTTGTTATCAATGTCGACATTTTCTTACTTTTGAACTTTATTTGCATTAAGTTCTTGTCTGACTATTGCTTGTAACATTGTTACACCATGAGTCACATGAGAAATCATTATTGTCAAAACTCTAAAGATCAGGAACACTATCCATTTGTATCCACTTGTTTATGGTTAAACACTGCTCCTCTTCTGGAAATGTTCACATTATGAGTATCAGGTCCATATTTGAAAGCACTTGCCTAAGATTGGTTGGTTTCTTGTTTAACGCCGCACTCAGCAATATTCCAGCTATGTGACGGCGGTCTGTAAATAATCCAATCCAGTGATTAGTATCATGAGCATCGATCCACACAATTGGGATCGATGACATGCATTAACCAAGTCAGCGAGCCTGACCACCATATCCCATTGGCCTCTTACGACAAGCATAGTTGCCTTTTACGGCAAGCATGCACTTGCAAATGACATGCTATGGAGTTGCAATCTACCTGATGTCAAAGAGTGGTAGTCCACATTGAAATGCCACTAGCCCTTCTTGAATGTTACAAGTCTCTGACTAGTGGACTTATGTTAATTTAGAACCCTGCTAATAATTTTCTACATTGCATCTGGAATGAATTATTTACATAATTCTTGCAATTCTCCTTTATGTCATATGTCAGCATACTTCATGCTTCAGTATGAAATGCAGGGCTCGAAAAATTTCTTAAACCCAACTTGTCATGATGCATGGCTAGTAGATTTTGTTTTGTACTCGTCCTGAGATTTTTTCCCTTACCCTTGCACACTTATTCACTTTGACATTTCTTGGGAGAGCAGATAAGCTCTTGTTAACTCTAACTGGTCAATAGGGGTGACTATTGGTCTGGAAATCACTATTGCGATAACTATTGATATTGAAAGAAACTATTGCAATAACTATTGATATTGCAAGCAACTATTACGATAAATATTTATAGTTTTCAGTGTGTCATTTTAGATGGATTTTAAATAAAAAGTAAAGCTTGAGATATGACTGATTTGTTTTTTCTTTACCCTAATAATTTAAGAAAAAGAAACTTCCACATTACCATGTGTAAATTACTCCCACTCATGATCAAAAGAAAAACAGATTTTAACAGCATTGCATGTATTTTATTGATATGGTAAATACAATCGAAAATATCGATATTCCTTACTGAAATCGATACTATTGATCGGAAACTGATTTAACAATTGATTTATTAGCTTTTAAGTGCTTACCAATAGCAATATATTGATATTTTTTTATCGTGACACCCCTACTGGTCAAACAGTCAAACTTTTTTATATTATATATAGTGTATATTAGAAGATGATCTTCTGTCATGTTCTAAATCCACGGGGTCTCATCACAGACCTGGATGACATATTTAGGTCTGTGGTCTCATGTAATTCTAAGCTTGATTAAAGTGCACTCAAATGTACCCATTTGGGCAACTAAAAGTTTCCACTTTGCATGCTAAATGATGTTCTCATTTAATCTCAGCCAACATATGCATCATAAACTTGCCCTGTAGGCATTCAGCAAGGATGTACAACATTGTATTATGGCATGTTAAAACTGGAGCTCTTAAATCTTCCCAACTAGGAATTGTAAACCTTTGAAAAAACACAAATGTAACAAGGAAGCCGCATTGTTATTAAATTGTGTGGATGACTTGCACTCAGCTAGATATCAATGGTTGATACAGCATCCTACTTCACAAAGTACAATGTCACTAAAAAAAATCATTGGATCCTGGAATAAGAAAGGAACGCTGTCTTTTTCCAACAGGGAAACATCAAACCAGCCTAGAATATATGTATTGTGTCAAGTATGTCCTAGGAAATCAGCATGTTCTGTTTCTGGAGGTACTAAGGGCGTTGTTTGTCATGCTGGGGATCCGGATAAGATGCTCCATGAGTACAGTGAAGTCCATTGTTTGTTTCTAGGGTAACGGGTAACTCAGATACCCGGGTCGGATGGCTACTGAGTAGGACCCAGGTACCCACAGGACTTCACGGACCCATGGTTAATCATGTGATATATATTGATTAATGACAAAAATTATCTAGAACTCTATGGTTACACTATAAGTGACTAATGTTTGCATTCCTTATATGTTATAAGTCAACTTAAGTTTATGCATGACCTGATCATTTTATACGAGTATCTAAATACATGTTGCCAGGGCTACGGTCAAACTATTCTCAGTCAGACATTTGGACCTATCTCTTGAGACCTACAGCGGGTTCCCAGGTAGGGTCGGGTAATAAGGGTGTGGGTACCTGGGTAGTAAATTTGGACTTGTCCCATGCCTATTTGTTATCCTTGCTCGCTTGTAACTGGAATAATGTCACCACTGTTGACTAATACTTGGTACATTGGTTCAACATAATTATCATATTCTCATTCAACTTTTGAAAAAAGGGCAAGGCGTGAGGGATTTTATTTTATATTTCTTGCAGAGGGAACACAATATTTATCTTGTGTAATGTGTGCATTACTTTTCCAAAAAGTAAGCCTGAGTAGAGAGGGGTGTGCATAATACATGCACTTTTCCCCAATGCAAAGATGTTACTGTGAGCACATAACATTGGAATAAGTCTGAACTAAAATATTCAAATTAGTCTTGTTATTACTCTACTGTATCCGGTTATAAAAAGTGTTCATTGTATATGTGAACTTGTGTTTGCAATCTATTTATTTAAATTTGATTAAAAATTTCATTCAGTATTGCAGGGACTTATCTCAGATTCTAAACTAAGTACCCATGGCAGGTAAATATGAGACAAATCATTATTTGGTTCAAATTATCAGATTTTTTTTAAAGTTCTGTTTACGTAAATTTGAAGGTATTTTAACATTGCTTTTAGTGTGATAATTATAATGTCATGGTAGACAAATTAGCTTTAACTTTGACATCCAAAAATATCTCCCTTCTTCATTTTTAGATCCTTATTATTTCATTACCTTACCCTGAATATTTCATGTTGGGAGACACACGTGGGGATTTCGGATAAGAATTAGGTCCCCAGCAACCTATAACCTGGTATATCTGATCTGTGCACATGACTGTCACATGACATTAATGTTCACACTGTTTCAGTTTGCTATTTCTGCAGTTCAAAGTGTATACCTTACCAGGGATTGACATGCACACTGATTGTTATTGTCCACTGGGGAATTTTTCAATCCTAAGTGCATGGTCCTTACTTGTTGCACTAGCCTCTGGGTCTGTAGAAATATGACCACGATCAAACTTTGCATTGTTCTTTGGGCCAGCAAGCCCTGCCTGTTTACATTATGCATACAATAACTTGTCTTTGAGAGTCTTCATGTTGTCAGTATCTGTTGATACCAGCAACACAGTGAAACCTTGCAATATCACCAGTGCTGCCTGAAGTTTTGTTAATAGCCCCTCATTTTGGTCCATGGGGTGCCCCTGTCGTCCGAGGCGCTACAATTAGCTGTGTAGAGTTGCATCGTTTGGGCATGCCAGAAACCTATGATCATGGGTTCGATTCTTTGTTCGCCCCAATTACCAATGTTCATGTCTTTCACCAAAGTGGCAAATGTCTTCGACCTACATCACTTCACTTTGGGCATTCCTCCCATATAAAATTAACACACCATGATATAACTGGAATACTGTTCAAAGTGACATGAAAATACATCTCATTCACTGACTCCTTTTGGTACATCTTTTATGATATTATATAGACAGTGTGCCATGCTCAGTGGTTTGGGGTTCATCAATGTCCAACCTTGTACTCGCAGGATCTCACCCTCCAGCACCTAAAACCCTAACATGGAACACATGAAACCACATGTACCTCTTGCGATGCTGCTACAACAAATTTATCTTACCGACATGTTTTAATCTGCAATTGTAAATAAATTAAAACAAATTCAAAATTGATAGAAAACTTGTCATGTGACTTTAATTGACTCAGAAGGCGCTTTTAGCTTTGAAGCGGGCTATAAGGTATTTATTTGCCTGCTCAGAAATCCACAAGCAGCCTGTCTTTTTCATGGCAGGGTATAAGGGATTTAATCTCCTGCTCAGAAATTTATTTCCCTCCCAGGTGGGATACATAGTATTTTATCAAGATCTCGTGAACCAATCAGATTTCATCATTCTGACATGGCGTTATGAAAAAGACTTATTACCTACAAGTGCATTGCCACATTGGGAGGGGGTTTACTGGTATGATATTCTGTTCACAGGTCTCCATCTTCCCAAGAATGTTCAGAACCGCATCAAAGAGCTGAAGAAGAGAATGAGTGACCTGGGAATCGACTTCAGCAAAAATCTCAATGAGGAGAACACCATTTTGGAGTTCACAGAGGAGGAGCTAGGTATAAAGCAATGATCATTCTGGTTGTATTGAAATAGGTGTAGTTTTCTCTAAGTCTGTAGGTTTATAATTCATAAATGCAGGAATCCTTGGGTAGAAATTAATGACAAGTGCAGAGCTTAACTCTTTCTCTTCTTCTTAAGTTATATGTGCCAATATTGTTTCCCGTATCTGGTATTAATTTGAATTTTTTTGTTTTGTTATTTAATATTTTTGTAATAAGACACCTTTTCTGATAAAAAACAAACATTACTTCTTTATTGTAGGCCCAATACTTGTTGTTCGGTAGAACTTTTAGACATACAACATGAAGAGAATTTATGTTGGCCCTTTCTTCCTTATTGTAGGTTTTTGGCATATGTATATATGTAGCCATGATATATACTGACTCATATTGAGGGTGATGCTGATGCCAAATTGCCCATTTATCCTGAATGTTATCTGATATTAAAACTGTATTCATATTTATTATCAGTTACTAAATCGTCTCCAACAACAACCAATGTTTTAAATAAAATTGCAAATGTTCAATGTTCAAAATTTTGTACAGTACAACAAGAGACATGTAATAAGAAATAAATTATATTATTTATACCAGTCAAAGGATTAAATCCATTGTCTGATATCAGCCTTCCCTGGGGGTTCTTATTACTGAAATTTTAGAAAATCAGTCTTAAGAAAGAAACTTGTATTCTACATTTGTTCAATGACGGTTTGGAGAATCTGCAAACCAAGGTCTAGATTTTCAAAACGGTCTCAGTTCTAAAATTATCGTTAAGTTATCGTAAGGAAATCGTTGACTGTCGTAGCCTATTTTCGAAACTATTATAGCCCTAAGATATCATACAAATGTCATAAATCTAAGATAGCTCTATTCCTGTCTCAAGTTTATTTTATCTTCATCCAAGATTGCAGCATACTTTGCTGTAGATATTTTTTCAAACAAATAATCTGCTTTTTCTTGAAACTATGACTTTATATATTGTATAACCTGTGTGATTCAAACCGACCCTTCGAATACACAAAGAATGCATCAAAGATTTTGTGTTTCTATCTCCAATACGAACAAATTCTCTGTCAGAGTTACGACGATAGCAGTCATAGCTTTAAACAATCTGCGACAGGTTTAAGATAGTTTCAAAAATGTATCTTATCTTTAACTTAAGATATATTTTCTTTCAATGTAAGTTGTTAAGCTTAATCTTACTATCCTTAGCTAAAATCGTTTCAAAATCTAGACCCAGTTAATAGAATGAATGTCTCCCACTGTATGGTAATCTTGTTTATTTGACAGTCGGGCTGCCTGGTGACTTCCTGAAAGCCTTAGAGAAGGTAATTGTTGTTGACTATCTTATCATGTGTTTACCTTGCCAAAACAGGATAGTTTATGTAATGCTATGATCCACATGACAACATGACGAACAAGATGACAGTTATACCACAGTACCTTGGTGTTGTGGACTAGTTGACACTTGGCTAGGGGCACAATACTCATTTGTCCGTGTTTGGAACATTAAGAATGACAGTCAGTTTATTTGTGTAAGTTGTTTTGAATAGACCTTGTTTTTTCAGGAAGATGATGAATGAAACATTCATAAAATCGTGATATTTCTCTTCTAGAACAACAATCTCACCGAGGTAAAATTATTAATAATTCAGAAGTTATGGGGAAAGTAAAAAGTTAAATAAAACTAAATTGTTCTATTAATTTTTGTTTGTTTTTGCAAGAATATAGGGTTGATAAGGTGAAATATCAAATATCTATTTTCCTTTTGGCGTTTTGGTGAAATCTGCCTGGAATGTTAAGACATCGCCAACGTTCACATGGGAGTAAAGCCATGTACAGAACTGCCTGGAATGCCAGTGAAGCTATGAATAATATCTGATCAAACTGTTACAGGTCATTAAGTATGTACCACTCAGCCAGGCAGGAACATGTATCGTTAAAAAAAAAGGCTTTCAACATGTGAAAGTGTCATCATTATTTTTTCTACATATCTGTTTTTTAAGGTAATAAAAAAAGAAGCCCCTAGCCAGTTGAATAGAGTTCATAATACATTGGTTTGTTGCACAATATTTTAGTAGAGCTTGGTAATTATACAGTTTGAGAGACCTGTAAAATCGCTTTATCCTTCTACAGTTTGTTTCTTTATTAACTCTTAAGAGTGAGACAGTCAGTCAGCCCACTCTGTACCTGATTAGCACCAAGTAAGAAAGATTTAATACTTGAATATATTGTAATAATCTTTGCCACTTTGCTATGCGTGTGCCAATGTACCACTGCTGTGTGATGTTTGTCAGACTGAGAGTGGGCAGTACAAGGTGTCACTCAAGTACCCCCACTATTTCCCATGCATGAAGAAAGCCAGGAACCCAGACACAAGGAGGAAGATGGAAACAGCATTTAATTCCAGGTAATGTAGAGCAGCTTGTCAGAACACATCTCCCTATGCTACAACAAGGCTCTTACTTCAGTGCTGTCAACGTTTTTTGTATTTACAGACTTCATGCCATGTCTCTGTTTGTCACATAATTGGTCATTTATCAGAGACAGTATTACCATATTTGTTTTGATGTATTAAAATTACATACTGAACCTGACCAATGTATTTTTCAAGAAATCCTAAATTTTGCAACAAAGTACTGACATTTTTTTTAACATGTTTTTTTTTTTTAAAACATTTGTAACATTTTCTTTTATTTATTTACTTTTGATTCTTATTGAGGAATTAACTTCAAATCAAAAAAGGTTTTACTTTTCCCCATGCAACTTGGCATAATGTCCAAGAAAATGTGTTTTCATATTTCAGCCTAGATGGAGAATTTCGGATTGTTTACATTAATTTGCAGCATAAGTCTGCTTGACATGGTACTCCCACACTGAACATGGGCTCTGTTTCAGATGTTTGAAGGAGAACACACCTATCCTGGAGGAGCTCGTCAAGCTGAGACACGAGGTGGGTAGTTACTGACCCATGACCTTCAGTAGTGCTGTATTCATGGTGTATGTCAGAGGGTAATGGTGGACGTCAGAGAATAATGATGGAAGACTGATGGAAGTCAGAGAGTAGTGATGGAAGTCAGAGAGTAATGATGGAAGTCTGAGAGTAATGAGAGTCTGAGAGTAATGGTGGAAGTCTGAGAGTAATGATGGAAGTCTGAGAGTAATGATGGAAGTCTGAGAGTAATGATGGAAGTCTGAGAGTAATGGTGGAAGTCTGAGAGTAATGATGGAAGTCTGAGAGTAATGATGGAAGTCTGAGAGTAGTGATGGAAGTCTGAGAGTAATGAGAGTCTGAGAGTAATGGTGGAAGTCTGAGAGTAATGATGGAAGTCTGAGAGTAATGATGGAAGTCTGAGAGTAATGATGGAAGTCTGAGAGTAATGATGGAAGTCAGAGAGTAATGATGGAAGTCTGAGAGTAATGATGGAAGTCTGAGAGTAGTGATGGAAGTCTGAGAGTAATGAGAGTCTGAGAGTAATGATGGAAGTCTGAGAGTAATGATGGAAGTCTGAGAGTAATGATGGAAGTCTGAGAGTAATGAGAGTCTGAGAGTAATGATGGAAGTCTGAGAGTAATGATGGAAGTCAGAGAGTAATGAGAGTCTGAGAGTAATGATGGAAGTCTGAGAGTAATGATGGAAGTCTGAGAGTAATGGTGGAAGTCTGAGAGTAATGATGGAAGTCTGAGAGTAATGATGGAAGTCTGAGAGTAATGATGGAAGTCTGAGTGTGGTGATGGAAGCTGTCCCATATACTGCATTCTTGTCACAAGAATCAGATAATTGTCTGCGGTCACTGACTGACCAAGGCAATTACCTTGACATGAGAATCATATTTATGGAAGGCAAAGTCTGGATTTTGATGAAGGCTAAATCATTAAGCAAATTTGCAAAGCATAATATTTACATTGCTGGGAATGTTTGTATGTAACCAGGAAAGTTTAAGACTCCCTAATCATAGCCTTATCGTTGTGAAGACCATTTGGGTTCCTAGATTATACTTTTATTGCAAGAACTCTTGGCCACTTTACATTCCAACACCGGTTAATCTTTAAACATAAAAACAAACCAGGAAAGAAAAGTATGTCCTAAAAAGAAAATTGTTTGTTTGGTATTTAACCCTGTCTCTCCATCAATGGCTGCGGCCAAGTTGCGGTTTACGAGGGATGTGTAAATGATGACAGGCGAGCAGGAACCGGCATAACTGTGGCTAGTTTAGTGTCAGCACTTGCAACTACAACAGACAACTTCCGGGTCATTTGCATAATGACATACATTAACTTACCAAGGATGACATCTCCTTGGCGTATATGTGTCACACTTACAACTAGCTTTATCTTGTATGACAAATGGATGACATGTGTTAAACATTGCACTTTAGACCCACGCAGCGGCCCACACTTGTACAGTTGTGTTGTACTTGATCTGTCAGTAAAACCCACACAGTGGCCCTCATGATACAGCTATGTTGTACTTGAACTGTCAGTAAAACCCACACAGTGGCCCTCATCATACAGCTGTGTTGTACTAGAACCGTCAGTAAAACCCACACAGTGGCCCTCATCATACAGCTGTTGTACTTGAACTGTCAGTAAAACCCACACAGTGGCCCTCAGCATACAGCTGTTGTACTAGAACAGTCAGTAAAACCCACACAAAGGCCCTCATCATACAGCTGTGTTGTACTAGAACAGTCAGTAAAACCCACACAGTGGCCCTCATCATACAACTGTGTTGTACTAGAACAGTCAGTAAAACCCACACAGTGGCCCTCATGATACAACTGTGTTGTACTAGAACAGTCAGTAAAACCCACACAGTGGCCCTCATCATACAGCTGTTGTACTTGAACTGTCAGTAAAACCCACACAGTGGCCCTCAGCATACAGCTGTTGTACTAGAACAGTCAGTAAAACCCACACAAAGGCCCTCATCATACAGCTGTGTTGTACTAGAACAGTCAGTAAAACCCACACAGTGGCCCTCATCATACAACTGTGTTGTACTAGAACTGTCAGTGAAACCCACACAGTGGCCCTCATCATACAACTGTGTTGTACTAGAACCGTCAGTAAAACCCACACAGTGGCCCTCATCATACAGCTGTTGTACTTGAACTGTCAGTAAAACCCACACAGTGGCCCTCAGCATACAGCTGTTGTACTAGAACAGTCAGTAAAACCCACACAAAGGCCCTCATCATACAGCTGTGTTGTACTAGAACAGTCAGTAAAACCCACACAGTGGCCCTCATCATACAACTGTGTTGTACTAGAACCGTCAGTGAAACCCACACAGTGGCCCCTCATCATACAACTGTGTTGTACTAGAACTGTCAGTGAAACCCACACAGTGGCCCTCATCATACAACTGTGTTGTACTAGAACTGTCAGTGAAACCCACACAGTGGCCCTCATCATACAACTGTGTTGTACTAGAACAGTCAGTGAAACCCACACAGTGGCCCCTCATCATACAACTGTGTTGTACTAGAACTGTCAGTGAAACCCACACAGTGGCCCTCATCATACAACTGTGTTGTACTAGAACAGTCAGTGAAACCCACACAGTGGCCCCTCATCATACAACTGTGTTGTACTAGAACTGTCAGTGAAACCCACACAGTGGCCCTCATCATACAACTGTGTTGTACTTGAACTGTCAGTGAAACCCACACAGTGGCCCCTCATCATACAGCTGTGTTGTACTAGAACAGTCAGTAAAACCCACCCAGTGGCCCTCATCATACAGCTGTGTTGTACTTGAACTGTCAGTGAAACCCACACAGTGGCCCCTCATCATACAGCTATGTTGTACTTGAACTGTCAGTGAAACCCACACAGTGGCCCTCATCATACAGCTATGTTGTACTAGAACTGTCAGTGAAACCCACACAGTGGCCCCTCATCATACAGCTGTGTTGTACTTCAACTGTCAGTGAAACCCACACAGTGGCCCTCATACAGCTGTGTTGTCCGAGAACAGTCGGTAAAACTTCAATTGCTTGTTCCACCAATGATGACACCCCAATTTGTTTTAATCTGATTTTCAATATGGCCACTGCAGCAGCCATATTGTAAAATCTATTTATGGCCTTGTTAAAAATGCAATGAAATATGGTCTGTTTAGTTCATGGATTCCTCTTCTTTTGACAATGCTTTAAATATTCTCATACATCGTTTTTGTCTCTGTAAATCTTCTTCTCCCATGAAAATGACAGACTGAGGGAGTTGAACTTTAGCATGTATGTTTCTCTTTATGATTACTTAATATTTTGTTCAAATAATTAGATTTTAATGTCGTCCTCAGTATTTATGACTACAGGTCACTACAGGTGAGCCACAATTCCATATTACTTTTATACCATATGGGGGCAGTTTTCCTTGGGGTGGGGAGACAGTTGTCCAGGATCAGTTGCCCAGATACCTAATTTCAGCAGTACGAGTTGTCAGCATCAGAAGTGTGTTTGCTGGTACTCCAGTATTTGAGGAAATCAAATCTCATAAATGTTTTTGATTTCTTTCAGAAAGCCCAACTCCTTGGCTTCCCAACCCACTCTGCCTTCATCCTTGACATGCGTATGGCCAAGACACCAGAGGCTGTCGACACATTCCTTAAAGATCTCACAGAAAAACTTCAGCTTCTCCGCAAAGAGGAGATGGAGGACTTCCTTCGTTTCAAGAAAGAAGAGGTAACCTTATTAATTGTAGTTATCAGGGCCTGTAAGAAGTGTTGAGATCGCAAACATACTTTGGTGTGAAGTTGCTTATCTAAGGTTGATTTTGAAGACTGAGATTCATGGATTCTCTTTCAGATTAAATCCTCCTTGGGGCACTTATTGCATTTTCCTTGCTCAAGAAAATCTACATGACATAGTTGTAACCATTTTCCTTAATAAAAAATGTTACCACACAAAAAACTTCGTTTTTGTATGATATACGACCACCCTTACGGGGCCTCACCCTCCACGGCACGCCACACCAGGGGGAGCAACTCTCACCCAAATCACTTTCCTTATGTCATCTGTAAGAGACAGACGTGCTGATTTTTCACACAAGACAAAATAAGAGAATAACTATCGTTCGACAAGAACCATGGCTGACCAAACTGTATGTATGGTTCATTTCTTTCATTTCAAAGGCGTAATACCTCGCATTGTAAAGTTATAGAGTTGTCTATGTCTAACTTTGAATTCAAATGGTCGCACTTTATATCGCACTGATACACTTTAATACCCTTCCCGCCCAGCTCAGAAATTACGGCCTTTTTTACAGACCTTCAAACTGTGTACGGGTTGTTCTGCTGCCATCCCCCCCCCCAAGACCGACCGGCACGAATGCTGCCTAAAATGTCTGGCGGAGGACCCGATATGCATTGAGAATGCATTGCCTTTACCCCCCGGGCCCCCAAAAAGAGACAAGTTGACTTGCTCCACTTTAAAGGTCTCTTAAAGGCGGTGGTAGATATAAGACCCCCCTTTAGCTCCGGCTCGAGGTCGCTCCCCAGCGGAGGGGTGGCGGGCGCCGGCCCGTGCACTACCGACGCACATTTTTCCCTAGCAGAGCCAGACGCCTCTTCCGAGGCCGAGGCTTCCACTAGTGGATACCTAGCCAAGAGCCAGGTGGGTTCCCTTGAACCCCCGGCACCTCGGCACCGGGACCCATGCCAGAGTCAGAGACCCCCAACTTGACAAAGGTCAAGTAGGGGGGTGGGTGGTCGGGTAGCCTAGTGATTAAAGCGTTTGTTCGTCACGGCGAAGACCCGGGTTCGACTCCCAACAGGGTTACAATGTGTAAATCCCTTTAAAGGCCAGCGGTTGCCCCCCTTTCCCGCGTGCGGTGCGGAGTTGAAGGCTGCTTACATATGCTTCGAGGAGCAATATTGTAATGCATGCCAACAGCTCCGTGTGTCCGTACACTCTGCCTATCTGTCGGTTGTACAGAGGGAGTTAGCGGGAGAGGGGCCGGCTGACTCTTCGGGGTTGGCCGCGCAACTAATAGAAGTTCACAGTCATCTTACGCGGGACGCTATTCGTAGCTGTGCCTCGCAGATGATGTGCGCTGTTATGGGCATGCACAGGCTGTGGATGTCGGTATCTACATACTCGACTTCCACACGCCAAGACCTCCTTGCTTTGCCATATAAGATGGTGCCACCCTCTTCCCTGGGGCTCAGCAGGTGGTCCGAGAGGCCGCTCAATTGTATACTTCCATCAAAGACTCTAAGGCCTTGTTGGAGGTACCAAGCGTTAAACCGCGTAAGCGGACCTCTCCACTTGACTCCTCCTACGCTGACGCACCGGGTCAGAAGTCCACACCTGCTTGGAAGCAGCCTACAGGTAAGGGCACCGGGAGGAGCAAGAGAGGCAGGGGCCGGGACAAGGCAGCTGGTCGAGGCCAGGGATTCCAGATTTTAGACAATCCTCCGGTTATACTGCTCAGTAATGGTCCAGATTTTATCTTCTGCGGTCAATAAATATCAGTCCTTACTGCTCGATAATACTCGTATTTTGCACACGCACTCCTTTGATCCTCGGGGACCCTCTGGCCTAGGTCAGCACGGGTTATAGTCTCTCGTGATCTACGCCCCTATATCACTTGTTCAAAATAGTGTGGGGTGGGGTGGGGGGTGTTTCGAGTTCTCCACTTATGACAAGCCGCAAAAACAGGCTTTATCATAATATATGGTCGACCACGCCCTGTCTCTAGCCCCTGCCTTTCGATGGTGGTGCCTCACGATAAGGTTGGTTCCATTTATTGAACTCTATATTTTATTCTGTTGAATAATCAAATACGATGTATTTATTTTCGCCTGTTGCTGACGGATGCCACTTCCTATATTATCTTTAGGAGTCTGTCCTGATGCAATAAGTGCCCCAAGGAGGATTAAATCTGAAAGAGAATTTTACAAACCTGTAGAGGTTTTGAATTCTCTGATGAAATCCTCCTTGGGGCACGGCCACCCACCTCCCCACATTCCGTCAGCATAAGACATATGGAAAGTGATTTGGGTGAGAGTTGCTCCCCCTGGCGTGGCGTGCCGTGGAGGGTGAGGCCCCGTAAGGGTGGTCGTATATCATACATATATACGTATAACATTTTTTATTAAGGAAAATGGTTACAACTATGTCATGTAGATTTTCTTGAGCAAGGAAAATGCAATAAGTGCCCCAAGGAGGATTTCATCAGAGAATTCATAACCTCTACAGGTTTGTAAAAATTTAATTAATTCTGGAAGGTTTTGCAAGCAGGAAAGGACTGCGAAAACTGCAAACAACACACACTTGCAATAGTTTCATGACACAGTTATTTTTGCAGACTGACAACTAACAAAAAAGGTAAGGAATATTTCTTGAATTCACTTCCACTTGTTACCAAACCAGCAAGTACTTGATGAAGCAACTAATCACTTTGTGTCAATAGTCTAATTAGTTTAAGTTCACTAACCTGCCACATCCCCTCAAGTATATCCAGACATACGCCAGCCAGTCTATTCTGTTAGATAAACACGCTACTCCCTTGTTAACTACAACAACACATACATCTATAGTTTAACAATCACTCACTGACACTCAGTTACCATTTCATCATGACGCTTCCTACTTATGAAATATTACACCTGCAAAAGTAGCTTTGATATTTGGTAATCTTAACAGGGTGTCACAAAACTTTCTTGTCTCAGTAAAGGCTATTTTTAGCCACTCACAGTCATTTCATGGTGCAAAACTTTCCAGATTTATATTATATTACTACTACTTCATGTACATGAATGCATTCCAGGGAATTTTTTAGCTCACTGACAGAATGTCAAGTGAGCTGATGTCATGACCTGTTTATCTAGTATCCGTCATGCGTCATCCGTGGTAAACATCATATCCTCAGAAACTACTGGACCAATGAAAACTTCACATTCTTGTTCCCACCAATGATGACACCCCGGATTGTTCAAGAGATTCAAATCTGAAAAACAAAATTTGATGAAATTTGATGCATGTGCAGGTAGTAGTGAGCTCAACATTGTTTTCGATATTTTGACTTTTAAAACCTTGGCTTGAATTTTTCACTTCGACCATACTGAACGCTGAAACTTAAATAGCCGCTGCTCAAGCATTTCGCTCAAAAAGTACTGAAATGCTCTCAAATTATCTCAAAATGCAGTTGTTTTCTGTTTAAGCATCTTCTCTGATATTGCCACAGAAAATTGAATTTTGGCATCTATGGTTTTTCTTTGGTGACATAGTACAAGTGTTGATTGATAAGCCTGATTCTGATTCTGAGCCTCACATAGAAGAAAGTGTGTAATAGTGAAATCTTTTGTTGTCGATATTTGAGTTTATTGAGCAAATTATTTCGCTGTGACAACTGTAAAATAAGCAGGCATCTGTGACCTTTGGAAATAAAAACATTTTGTCTCATGTTTCAGTGTGAGACATATGGCTATGAAAATGATGGCAAGGTTAACTACTGGGATTTCCGCTACTATATGACCATGTCTGAGGAGAAGAAGTATGCAGTGGACCACAACAGGCTGAAGGAGTACTTCCCCATGGAGAAGGTCACCAAGGGCCTCCTGGAAATATACCAGGTAAAAACATTGCCATGGAGACAGTCACCTAGGCCTTCTGGAAATATACCAGGTAAGAACATACAGTCACCTAGGGCCTCCTGGAAATATGCCAGGTAATGTCTTCCCCATGTAGACAGTCACCAATGGCCTCCTGGAAATATGTCAGGGGTAATGTCTTCCCCATATAGACAGTCACCTAGGGCCTCCTGGAAATATGTCAGGGGTAATGTCTTCCCCATGTAGACAGTCACCTAGGGCCTCCTGGAAATATGTTAGGGGTAATGTCTTCCCCATATAGACAGTCACCTAGGGCCTCCTGGAAATATGTCAGGGGTAATGTCTTCCCCATATAGACAGTCACCTAGGGCCTCCTGAAAATATGTCAGGGGTAATGTCTTCCCCATATAGACAGTCACCTAGGGCCTCCTGGAAATATGTCAGGGGTAATGTCTTCCCCATATAGACAGTCACCTAGGGCCTCCTGGAAAAATGTCAGGGGTAATGTCTTCCCCATATAGACAGTCACCTAGGGCCTCATGAAAATATGTCAGGGGTAATGTCTTCCCCATGTAGACAGTCACCTAGGGCCTCCTGGAAATGTGTCAGGGGTAATGTCTTCCCCATATAGACAGTCACCTAGGGCCTCCTGGAAATATGCCAGGGGTAATGTCTTCCCCATATAGACAGTCACCTAGGGCCTCCTGAAAATCTGTCAGGGGTAATGTCTTCCCCATGTAGACAGTCACCTAGGGCCTCCTGGAAATATGCCAGGGGTAATGACTTCCCCATGTAGAAAGTCACCTAGGGTCTCCTGGAAATATGTCAGGGGTAATGTCTTCCCCATATAGACAGTCACCTAGGGCCTCCTGGAAATATGCCAGGTAATGTCTTCCCCATGTAGACAGTCACCTAGGGCCTCCTGGAAATATGTCAGGGGTAATGTCTTCCCCATGTAGACAGTCACCTAGGGCCTCCTGGAAATGTGTCAGGGGTAATGTCTTCCCCATATAGACAGTCACCTAGGGCCTCCTGGAAATATGCCAGGGGTAATGTCTTCCCCATGTAGACAGTCACCTAGGGCCTCCTGGAAATATACCAGGTAATGTCTTCCCCATGTAGACAGTCACCTAGGGCCTCCTGGAAATATGCCAGGTAATGTCTTCCCCATATAGACAGTCACCTAGGGCCTCCTGGAAATATGTCAGGGGTAATGTCTTCCCCATATAGACAGTCACCTAGGGCCTCCTGGAAATGTGTCAGGGGTAATGTCTTCCCCATATAGACAGTCACCTGGGGCCTCCTGGAAATATGCCAGGGATAATGTCTTCCCCATGTAGACAGTCACCTAGGGCCTCCTGGAAATATACCAGGTAAGGTCTTCACCACAGAGATGGTCACCTGGAGACATATCAACAATCAATTGTATTTTTTCATGCCAGTATTGATACTATCGAGTTAAGTTAGTTACAGAATAGGTCAGATTGTGCGTCCTTATGCCTTGATGGTGCTATCTGATTGTGAATCCTCATGCTCTGATGGTGCTATCTGATTGTGAATCCCAGCGTAAGAAATTGGCACTAGTCCTATAGTCCTTGCCAAACTGCCCAATAGTTAAGGTATCATAAGGACTAGTAGAAATGTGCCCTTTTTACGGGTTTTACTATATGTTATCATTATAAGGACTAGTGGACTAAAACTGTTAGTTTCTAACACTGGAATCCTCATGCTCTGACGGTGCTATCTGATTGTGAATCCTCATGCCCTGATGGTTTTGACTGATTGTGAATCCTCATGCCCTGATGGTGCTATCTGATTGTGAATCCTCATGCCCTGATGGTGCTATCTGATTGTACATCCTCATGCCCTAAAGTGCTATCTGATTGTGAATCCTCATGCCCTGATGGTGCTATCTGATTGTGATACCTCATGCCCTGATGGTTTTGACTGATTGTGAATCCTCATGCCCTGATGGTGCTATCTGATTGTGAATCCTCATGCCCTAAAGTGCTATCTGATTGTGAATCCTCATGCCCTGGTGGTGCTATCTGATTGTGATACCTCATGCCCTGATGGTTTTGACTGATTGTGAATCCTCATGCCCTGATGGTGCTAGCTGATTGTGAATCCTCATGCCCTGGTGGTGCTATCTGATTGGGAATCCTCATGCCCTGGTGGTGCTATATGATTGTGAATCCTCATGCCCAGATGGTGCTATCTGATTGTGAATCCTCATGCCCTGGTGGTGCTAGCTGATTGTGAATCCTCATGCTCTGATGGTGCTAGCTGATTGTGAATCCTCATGCCCTTAAGTGCTATCTGATTGGGAATCCTCATGCCCTGATGGTGCTAGCTGATTGTGAATCCTCATGCCCTGATGGTGCTAGCTGATTGTGAATCCTCATGCTCTGATGGTGCTAGCTGATTGTGAATCCTCATGTCCTGATGGTGCTATCTGATTGTGAATCCTCATGCCCTGATGGTGCTATATGATTGTGAATCCTCATGCCCAGATGGTGCTATCTGATTGTGAATCCTCATGCTCTGACGGTGCTAGCTGATTGTGAATCCTCATGTCCTGATGGTGCTATCTGATTGTGAATCCTCATGCCCTCATGGTGCTATCTGATTGTGAATCCTCATGCCCAGATGGTGCTATCTGATTGGGAATCCTCATGCCCTGATGGTGCTAGCTGATTGTGAATCCTCATGCCCTGATGGTGCTAGCTGATTGTGAATCCTCATGCTCTGATGGTGCTAGCTGATTGTGAATCCTCATGTCCTGATGGTGCTATCTGATTGTGAATCCTCATGCCCTGATGGTGCTATATGATTGTGAATCCTCATGCCCAGATGGTGCTATCTGATTGTGAATGCTCATGCCCTGATGGTTTTGACTGATTGTGAATCCTCATGCTCTGATGGTGCTATCTGATTGTGAATCCTCATGCCCTAAAGTGCTATCTGATTGTGAATCCTCATGCCCTGATGGTGCTATCTGATTGTGATACCTCATGCCCTGATGGTGCTATATGATTGTGAATCCTCATGCCCTGATGGTGCTATCTGATTGTGAATCCTCATGACCTGATGGTGCTATCTGATTGTGAATCCTCATGCCCTCATGGTGCTATCTGATTGTGAATCCTCATGCCCTGATGGTGCTATATGATTGTGAATCCTCATGCCCTCATGGTGCTATCTGATTGTGAATCCTCATGCCCTGATGGTGCTATCTGATTGTGAATCCTCATGCCCTGATGGTGCTAGCTGATTGTGAATCCTCATGCCCTGATGGTGCTATCTGATTGTGAATCCTCATGCCCTGGTGGTGCTGGCATTTCAACTTGCTGTGGCATAAAACATCATTCAACTATCTAATCACTAAACTCTCTCTTTGTTTCAGGAACTACTAGGACTAAAGTTTTCACAAATCAAAGATGCCGAAGTCTGGTTTGAAGATGTCACCATGGTAAGATATTCAGTAATACTGCAGATAGTAACATTTCTCAGAGGATACCTGATGGTCTGTACCCATGTTCAGAAAGACACCTCTCCTCATGTCTGTAAAATAAGTTGCTAGTGAAATTATTCCAAGCAACCAATTGAAAATATCAGTGCAATATCTTGAAAACAGGGTTGCAATGAGTGATGTATCTGGTCAAATTATTGTTAGTTTCAATATTTTTACTTATGTTTTGTAAAGAAGATTGAAAAGTATGTATTGAGCCTGGTAAAAGATAGTTTGTTAACTCCCTTGTAAGCTAGTGTGTTGGAGCTATTTTCATATATTGTGCAGCCAGTTCATTTATCCATACTTATAATCCTAACATCTCCATTTGAATCATTGAATCTGTAAATAAAACATACTTCTTGGTTTCAGCATTTTCAGCACTAAAGAACACTTTATTTTATATTATCAAAATATTTAACTTTTTTTTCTGAAAGCAGCGTTGTCAAGGGTGCAAATACATCCATCCTGTGTCATTGTCACTTGCATTGTTTTCCTGTAGAAAGAGAAGGTGTGTTTTTGTGTAAAATATACAGAATATATCACAATTACTGACTACTTTTCCCTATCTGCATAATGATATATATCAGTATCAGGACATTAGCATGGGAGAATATTATCAAACAGTATATACTGTCATTTCCACCTGTATGCTCTGTAGAACGAGGCGTGTTAATTAATCATGCCACAGCAAGGTGCTTGGTGACAGAGGTGAATGTGCACTGATGGAAGGAAGGAATATGTCTTTGCTCTTGACCCAGAAAGTGAAGAAAGTGGAGCACCATGTACGGGACACTGGGTACAGTTTGGGTTTGACACTGCACATCTATTCCAAACTGTGCATGATATATAAACCACAAACAGGGTACAGAGATGCAATAAGTATGCATGGTTAGCATTGGCTAACATCAATCAAAGGTGAAGGTCATATTGTTAAACAAGTCCAGGATTTCTGTTTTTTATTTGTGAGGTATATTTTTTGAATATTAATAATAGACACTTTAGTCTGCTATTCAGTTCCAGGCATTGTCAAGTTCAGCAGTTTCGGTGCATGCACATGCTTTTTTTGTTTCTTTGTTTCTTTGTTTGTTGTTCAACGTCCCGCTCAGGAATATTCCAGCTATATGACGGCGGTCTGTAAGTAATCAAGTCTGGACCAGACAATCCAGTGATTGACATCATGAACATCGATCTACACAATTAGGATGTGATGACATGCATCAACCATGTCAGTGACCCTGACCACACTTATAAAATCATCATAGAGTTTAGTTAATCATTTTGATGTTAGCAAACTCCACTTGAAGGGATATTCCACTGAAAATTAACATTTAGTGCTTAATAATCTCACAATTTCATGCTCTCCTTGCTGCGCGAGACCAAGACAAGATGCCTCCATAGAATGGCCGAAGAAGTCATATTGGCACAATCAGTGACCTCTTTCCCTTAAAATAAGAAATAGAATTGTTTTAAATAAACGTGAAAAAAATGTTATTCCTTAAAATAGGTGATGACAAGTCAGTGGAATATTCCTTTAAAGTTGTTTTACATGTTGTGAGTGAGAGACACAGAGCCCATGCTGGGGGAGATACTGCACCAGGCTACACTGATACGTTGTCTCTGTTTGCAGTACAGTGTGACGGACGCCAAGTCAGAGGAACTGCTGGGCTACTTCTACCTGGACCTCTACCCTCGCGAAGGCAAATATGGCCATGCTGCTTGCTTTGGTCTGCAGGTACAGGCTCTCACAGGAGGTGTTCATTCCCTCAAGTAGAACTCAAGATCGCAGAGAACAAAGTATTATTGTACTTGGTTGTTGAGTGTGTAAAGAGGAGAGCGAAGAAAATCAATTGTATTGCTGAAATTGGTTTTGGGTCTTCTTGCTAAACATTTGCACATTGCTTTATGGTGAAATGTTTGGTGATGGCTGTTTACCAGACAGACAGACAGACAGACAGACAGACAGAGTTTATTCAGGCCTCTGTCCCATAACATAAAAGTATGCAGGATAAATTTCATGCATGCAGGAATATCTAGATAGTTTATAAATTAAACGTTATGAGAGCAGCAGAGTTTTGAAAATGTTGATAGAAATATCCCAAAACATTTACAAGTTCTTGTGCAGTCAGTGCACATCAGAGATACAAACTTCACAACAGTGCTTGATAAACATAAGCTTGCTTTGTAAGCTCTCAGAAGAACACTTATACATGATGCAGCTGCATAAAGTAGATAGGAGAAAACCTTTTGTTCAAGGTATTGTGTTATTCTTTAAGACAGTCTGTTAGCAAATTGGCTATTGGTAATAAGTACATTTTCTCTACCTTGAAAAAAAGACATGATAAATCCTTCAGGGAATAATGGTGCATGAGCCAAGACTCGGGACTTACGATATGAGTCTGTTTCAGCCTGGTTGTGTCCTGCCGGACGGATCTCGCCAGATATCTATAGCTGCCATGGTGGCCAACTTCACCAAGTCCACCGCCGACCAGCCGTCTCTCCTGACTCATGATGAGGTGAGCTGTCTGGAGAGGACCACTAGGCCCTGTATGTTCCCTGGAGGAAACTACCACCTTCTACTGCCTTCTTTTAAACGTCTAGTACCTACTCATGGCAAATAAGGGGCATTGATGTCCCCGTGGTGTATGATGCTGCAGTTTGCTGTGCAGGGTTAGTCCTGCCAGGCCCTGATGAGGCTCATTGGTTTGTATCCCGAATTGGGCCTGATCCGGATCTTTGGTTTGCCAGCAACATGTCTGGGTTTCACCATGGTGGGAAATGTCCAGGACCTGTGTCACTTAGGGCATTACTCCCATATTAAGCTGACTCGTGAAGATCCTGGGTAGAATAGGTCTTCAGCAACCCATGCTTGCCATAAAAGGCGACTGTGCTTGTCGTAAGAGACGACTAACGGGATTGGGTGGTCAGGCTTGCTGACTTGGTTGATGCATGTTATCGATCCCAATTGCATGGATCAGTGCTCATGATACCAATCACTGGATTGTCTGGTCCAGACTCGATTATTTACAGATCGCCATCATATAGCTGGAATATTGCTGAGTGCGGCATTAAACAACAAACCAACCAACCAACCAACCCATATTAAGCTGACTTGCTATGGTGTAACTGAAATACTGCTCAAAGCAGTATTCAACACAGCTGCATGGCTAAACATAAATATCCTTCTATTTAGAGGAGTTGTGAAACGACGTACGTTTGCTGCAAGCCTTTGTGCAGTTTAACCCCACTAGTGACAAGCAATCTGAGTATGTGGAATGAGTTGTTGTTGATGTATTGTTGTCATGGTGATCAAAAGATGTATTCTTTCAGGTTGAGACATATTTCCATGAGTTTGGCCATGTCATGCATCAGATCTGTGCACGGGCAGACTTTGCTTTGTTCAGGTATGTGTCTGTTGTTTCCATGTTACCAGATGACATGATGAGTTATTGAATTATTGAATGTTTATGTAAATTAATGTTGTTTCCATGTTACCAGATGACATGATGAGTTATTGAATTATTGAATGTTTATGTAAATTAATGTATCGAGAGAATATCCGTCTCAGTAATGTATTTTAGCTTTCTGACTGAATATACACTTGAAAGTCATAGTCATATCTTAAATAATCATCAGTCTTGAGCAAAACTTGTCATATGTATCGCCTGGGAAAGTTTGATAATATTGTGTAGCACCGCAGACATGAACTACTGCAGTTGCCTCCCTCCAGTCCTCTAAGCTGCAGATTGTTGTGTTGATGCAGTGGCACCCATGTGGAGCGCGACTTCGTGGAGGCGCCATCCCAGATGCTGGAGAACTGGTGCTGGGAGCGAGAACCTTTGTGTCGCATGTCCGGCCACTACAAGGACGGCAAGGCCATTCCAGATGACCTGCTGGAGAAACTCACCAAGAGCAGGATTGCCAATGCTGGTGTCTTCAACCTCCGTCAAATTCTCCTGGGGACGTTCGACCAGACCATACACACGAAGCCTGAGGTAAGAGGGTGGTGCATGGTTTATTCAAGTTGATTTCTGCCTGTTGGTTTATGTCAAAACTGTGCTTTGTCTGACTAGACTTCTTTTCACAAGAAGAGTGTCACATGATCCTGATGTTAGCTGTCATCTTGGATTAATTGTTTTCACCGTGTGTATAGTTTTGAGAGTTACCTCACTTATGTTACTGGTATCTTGCACTTGGAGTATGTATACCAATAATACTTTGTTTTGCCTTCAAATAGATGTATAATAAAATACACAAAAAGCTTAATGAATAACACTTTTCTTGTTATTCCCCCTGCATATTTTGCAGTGGTACACAGCTGTCGGAACATCTGTCTGTCTGTCCGTCTGTGTATGAATGTGTAAAGTTGGTTGTATTTATGTATTTTGTATTTCTCTGAAACTATATGAAACATGCAAGTGATGCCCCAGAGCAGAACTTGCATGCATCAACATTATATGCTGTATTGCACTGTAAGAAGATACAAGAATATAAAGTGAAGACATACAAATTCTACACATGGCTGTTGATATCTATGTGTTTGTTTCCAGGCCGACACAGCCAAGATATTCTTTGAGCTGTCTGAGAAGATTCTGGGCATCGTCCCGACTCCAGGAACCAACATGCCGGCTGCCTTCGGTCATCTGGCCGGAGGGTATGATGCTCAATATTATGGCTATCTGGTAGGTGACACTTCTGTTCTTACTCCCAGATGAAATAGCTCCTGACAGCCCAATGCTTGTCATAAGGGCTGACTAATTACCACCAGTTGGGCACATGTGTATATGGGTGTCAAAATGAAGAATAAAAGTCGAGGGGTCATTGTTATACCCCTAATGCTATACCAGAAAACCTTAAGGACAACCTAGTCGTAGAGCATCTGCCCGGAGAGAGTAAGGGCCGGGGTTCGATACCTGGCTGCATCATACCAAAAGACATTAAAAGATGGTACTTGTTACCCTGCCTGACGCTCAGCTTTAAGGGGCTAAAACAAGGACTCTCCTCACCTCACCTCACCTCACCTCACCTCACCTCACCTCACCTCACCTCACCTCACCTCACCTCAAGAACACCCGCTTAATTTCTAACACTGTATGTGTTCACCATGTGTCTGTATAAGTGAGGGTGTGTTCCATGTTTCAGTGGAGTGAGGTGTTCTGCATGGACTCCTAAATGTGTTCACCTTGTGTCTGTATAAGTGAGGGCGTGTTCCATGGTTCAGTGGAGTGAGGTGTTCTGCATGGACTCCTGTATGTGTTCACCATGTGTCTGTATAAGTGAGGGTGTGTTCCATGTTTCAGTGGAGTGAGGTGTTCTGCATGGACATGTTCTACTCACGGTTCCGGAAAGAGGGGATCATGAATCCGGCTGTCGGCAACAGCTACAGAAACTGCATCCTTGCACCAGGGGGATCTGTGGTAAGTGTCTTCTTGAGAAGTCTAGTTTTTCAACACTTTATATAAATACTTGTACACATAATGACATATTTCCAAATATGTCACTGTGCCAATGGCCTCAATTTTTTTCTGGCATCTGTCGTCTACAACAATGATACGTGATGTTTCACGACAGGTTTTGAGTCACACTTATGAACTCAATGAATATGTATGAACTGAAGTTCTGTAAAGATTGTGATGGTATGCAGAAGCAAGTGTTAGTGCAGCAGCTCATTGATGATAGCGATGGTATGCAGAAGCAAGTATTGGTTTAGCAGCTCATTGATGATAGTGATGGTATGCAGAAGCAAGTATTGGTTTAGCAGCTCATTGATGATAGTGATGGTATGCAGAAGCAAGTTTTAGTGCAACAGTTCATTGATGATAGTGATGGTATGCAGAAGCAAGTATTAGTGCTACAGTTCATTGATGATAGTGATGGTATGCAGAAGCAAGTATTAGTGCAACAGTTCATTGATGATAGTGATGGTATGCAGAAGCAAGTATTAGTGTAGCAGTTCATTGATGATAGTGATGGTATGCAGAAGCAAGTATTAGTGCAACAGTTCATTGATGGTATGCAGAAGCAAGTATTAGTGCAACAGTTCATTGATGATAGTGATGGTATGCAGAAGCAAGTATTAGTGTAGCAGCTCATTGATGATAGTGATGGTATGCAGAAGCAAGTATTAGTGTAGCAGCTCATTGATGATAGTGATGGTATGCAGAAGCAAGTATTAATTTAGCAGCTTATTGATGATAGTGATGGTATGCAGAAGCAAGTATTAGTATAGCAGCTCATTGATGATAGTGATGGTATGCAGAAGCAAGTATTAGTGTAGCATTTCATTGATGATAGTGATGGTATGCAGAAGCAAGTATTAGTGCAACAGCTCTATGATGATAGTGATGGTATGCAGAAGCAAGTATTAGTTTAGCAGCTTATTGATGATAGTGATGGTATGCAGGAGCAAGTATTAGTGTAGCAGTTCATTGATGATAGTGATGGTATGCAGAAGCAAGTATTAGTTTAGCAGCTCATTGATGATAGTGATGGTATGCAGAAGCAAGTATTAGTGTAGCATTTCATTGATGATAGTGATGGTATGCAGTAGCAAGTATTAGTTTAGCAGCTTATTGATGATAGTGATGGTATGCAGAAGCAAGTATTAGTGCAACAGTTCATTGATGATAGTGATGGTATGCAGTAACAACTGTTAGTGCAACAGCTCTATGATGATAATCATAATCATCATAATTATGTTTACTTCTAGGATGGGGCAGACATGCTGAAGAACTTCCTGGGTCGTGACCCCCTACCAAATGCTTTCCTGGAGAGCAAGGGACTGAAGGCGTAGACATCACCCAAGTACCCCAGCATGATGATAGCTGATTGTGTGTATATAGGAGCAGTGTATACATGTAACATGTCAGTGTACAGAGATGATACCAGCATTGTATATAATATTTTACATAAGCAGCATAAATTGTGTAATGACCAATATGAAATACTAAGCAGCAATTGAACTTTGAGGATATGGGTACATCGGGCAACTAACTAACATGTGAAAATCAGTTCATGTGCAATGCTGGACACACATCAGAATAGCCAGACTGGTGAGTGAGCTGTAGGTAGTAGGAATGGGATGGAATGATGCATTTTACCAATACACATTTGCCATGGTTAGGGATGGAGGTAGGTATCTCTATATTTTTATTAAATTTTCCATCGTCAAAATGAAAACTACAATTCTGAAATACAAGGCTTGTTTCTAAAGTGATCCCTTAAATAAGGGAAATAGAGAAAATTTGGAATGGACAATATTTGTGAATGACAAGTCAGGGGGTTACTTCCCTTCTTTTACCGATCTACTTTCAAGTTTCTTTTATTACTGAAAATACTTAATAGACCTGGTGGCAGGAAAAGAAACTTTCCCAATATTTAAGCTTTATTGCTCGTCGTGATATAATGGGTTAGTGTAACTGTCAACCAATTACCGGTAAATGTAAAAAAATGAAAATAAATATTTGCAAACAATATGTATTCAATATCGAATTTTAAGATACAGTGAAAGCATGTCAGATCAAACAGCATTAACTCAAAAATATATTGGGACGTTTTTAAATTTCAGTACATGACATGAAGAATGCCTAAAAAAATATATATAAAATGGAGTTGGCAAGATAAAGGATTTATGACATTACACGTTTTACAAGTTCTAATTGTATAGACTGCTTATCAGGAATAGAGGATATTATTTGATACTTAAGTATTCATGTTGGTTATTAAATAGTTTTCACTCTGCAACTGGTGTGCCATGATATGACCTGCATCCCATATTGTATTGTTAGCCTAGATAATGTGTAGGAACTTATGGCATTGTCTGTCCACCATGGAGATCTGTTACTCCTGAAGAGATCAAATATAGATCAGGAAATGTCAAATTGAAATAAATCTTTGGAAATTGTAGGAAACTATCCCAAGATTTGTCTATAGACACAGGCAACAATGCTATTATGAGGAACCCAAGTTGGATGAGGACATCAAATTTCCTCTCTGATAGGTGTGTGGGTGTTGATTGTCTGTTGTTTGTTGATGTTTCTATTCAAATATCAAATGTTAAAATTATTTGTTTTGTATGTGCATTGTGTGAGAGATGTTTAGTTATGTACACACCTGACAACTTACAGTCCTCTTTCAAGTTGGACAAACCACTGATTGAGTAGTGCAAATAGAAAATGTCTGTATAGGTTCCAGGACAAACCACTGATTGAGTAGTGCAAATAGAAAATGTCTGTATAGGTTCCAGGACAAACCACTGATTGAGTAGTGCAAATAGAAAATGTCTGTATAGGTTCCAGGATTCAAACATAACAAACCACCAAACGGTTTTCCCAACTTTGTAGTTATACATGCAACAACTACAAGTTATCATTGTTAGTTAACAATGTCTAACTACTTTGTAAGTTGCAATTGCAGCATTCATCACAGTGATTCAAATTATGTGTTTTGTTCTCCCGCTGAAAATGCAAACATGTTATGTTTTTGGTAAGAATTAAGATTTAATACTAAAAAGGATGTGGAATCAAAACTGTTTGTGCTTTGAACATAAAAAATATGTAATGAGTTTAGCACAAATATAAATACACACATTATTATTATTTATTATTTTTATTATCTGTTTTAATTTCAAATTGTTTATGATATGCTCTAAAGAAGTAGCTGAGGTAATGAAACAAATTTCTTTGGCAACAATTTTTTTACCTATTATGGACTCACTTCTAGGTTTACATGTTTATTTTCATTCATTTTCAAATATTGTCTTAAAAATGTATATGAAGCTAAATAAATCAAACATGTGGCCTAATGCAGTGATAATATGTCAGTATGCATTTTGTCCTGATCATGGAAAAATTATTTTTTATACCTATGCATTGTTTGAGTGTTTGTGAACTATGACTGGAGCTGACTCGGGTGCAGATCTTGGTGGTAGTTGCAAATATTCAAACGTCTAAAGGGGCATTCTGTACAAATATATCTCACGAAATGACTCACAGGAACATGTAATGGAACAGGCCAGTTAATGATCCCACAGACTGTATGCCCACAATGAGATGCTGCTCGTCTTCATAACAGTAGGAACAAATGTCTTGCTATTAAATCTCCCCAAGTCCTGCATCTCGGCTTCTGGACTAGGTCACATCCCTGTGTGTATGGCTGAACATGGCGATGCAAGCTGTTTTCTTGTAAGCTGTCTGGATGGACAAAGTTTGTCATCAACTGACAAAAATGGACAGTTCCTGATTACCTGCAGACTCTGTCACAGCTGATGATGCAGGCACTGTAGTCGTGGTAGCACGATACAGTAGCAGTATATGATAGGAGTATGAGCGGCGACAAGCATATGGTAGGATTATATAGGAGGAATATACAAATCATGAGTATTTTTGATGATTTTGAACAATCTTTCGAAAGCAATAATTTTACCAAAAATTCTTCCTACTACAGTCATCCGTGCCTTGTCTAAATATTCAGAACAAGTAGATTTTTCTTTCCATTCACTTAAAATGTTGCCTTGTACTCCCATCAATGCAGCAAACTCCTTTTCTAGAGAGTCTGGCCTGTAATGTAGGCCGGAATATCAGTTGGCCATTTCACCACACAAGTACCATACCACCCCTGTTGTTTAACTGTCATTTTAGAGTTATCCCCCTTTAGTAAACTTAACCTGATGCAAGGTCACATCAGTTTATGAGGCACTTACTCATCAATGTTGGACATTTTGACACTTCTGTTTGCATTTCTGCATGATCAGTTTTGTATGGTCCAGATCATCTGAATCCATCTCAATCCAGCTTTTCAATCAAGGTGTTTGTATATAAGGATGTGGCTTAAATGTGAATGAAGAACACAGGAGTCCAAAAATGGAAATTACCGGTATATTTATTTTCAACTTTTTTTCACTTTTTTTTCCACTTTTAATTTTTCAGTTAGCCCAAAACTACTGGGTAATTCCAAGTCATTAGCAACCATGGCAGTAATGTATATGCAAAGAGAGATAACTCTTCCATTAAGTTCTAGACAATTTGGACAATTACTATTAAGACTAGATTTCATACAGAATTATTGATCATGTCAAAAATATTTAAATGTTTTTGACTTTATTACCAAATGGGGGGCAGTTGTCTAAGGCGCCATGATTCGCTGTGCAGAGTTGAGTGCCTTGGACACGCCAGAAACCTATGATTGTGGGTTAGGATCCCGGTTTGCCCCAATTATGTTTCTAGGTTTGTCATCACCATACCCGTGCTTTGGGTTACTGGAATAATGTTAAAAGCGGCGTTAAACCCAACCCAACTCACTCACTCACTCACTCACTCACTCACTCACTCACTCACTCACTCACTCACTCACTCATTACCTAATGGGTTGATCTGAGCAGGGACAACATGTATAGCAGTATGACCACCACAGAACAGAGGCTCTCATGTCATTGCACCACTATACTTGGCACCTACATTAGTGCAGCGTTGTACCTTCTGCATGCAAACAGGTGCTTTGGTTTTGACATAAATTGATACTGGTTGTGATGTAGTTGAGACACTAGCTTACACAGTTACTCTATGCAGTGTATTCAATACAGGGACATAAACTGAATCTTCTAATGTGTGTACATTGTTAGAATAGGGTTTGTGTACAATATCTATTGCATATGTTGGAAATATTCTCCTTTGCAGTATGATGGTAAAAAAAATCAGTTCAAACTGTAGATCATTGGATCTTTTGGGAATTGGACTTTGAAAATTATTTTATGCCAACTGCACCCTGTGGAAATTGGTTAGCCTCTGTAAGAGTCTCATAGAATGGATCAGGTGTTCAGACTTGTTGGCCTGGCTGATGGTGTCGGCTTTTGTTGATGCTATCAGCCTGTGGTTGGCCTCGTCTAGACTTTAATGTTGACAGGATGTTGTGATGTAGCTGGAACATAACTGACAGCTGCATTCAACACCATTCACTCACTCCTGCCGTTTAAGAAACAGTAATAAGTTTTTACAGGGGGCCTGAATACTGTACAATGATGGGGACCAAGCTACATAAAGACCAACAGGGATCACAGTTACCTGCCCTTGAATATTGACATGATTATTCCATGTTGTGAGAAGGATCAAAGCCCTATTATTCAGAGCTACAACTCAGATATCTTGCAGGAAGTAAATAAGACATAATTATCAAGCTTCAAAACTTGGATTGATTTTTAATGTTTGAAAATACTTTTTATCTTGTTTTGCTGTGATGTTCATTCATCAAGATAAACACAGATGCAATGATCTGTGCAATCGTACATCTTCAAACTGTTATTGTAGGGATGTGAGTACTTCCTACTTAATAAATCTGTCCCTATATATTTTCCTATCCTTGTCATATGACTGTGTCTATCATCTGAAGTTTGTGTTTTGTCAATATGCACATTGACTTTTCTTTTCTATTTCAAGAGAAGAATAAATCTATTATACTAATTCAAAGCGTTTTGTTGTTTTGTTCATGGTTCAGCAATTAAAGAAACAGAAATAAGTGTTGATACATGTATTTTGTAACTAGTGGAATTTTGAGGTATTTCACATTGTGATGAAATTCCTTACACTAGGAAATATGTGATTACTGGTTTTGTAGAATGTCTGACCTAAGTTACGGAGGAGGTACTCTAAACTGGAAGCTGCCTGTGTTCATTTTATAGCATGTTCCGTTTTATATACAGCTACAGGAACAAGCATTGCCCCACCTACATTTGTCCTCCCACTGATAAATACACGTTTGTCTTGCATCCCACACACATTCACATTGCCCAACGTTATTGATGGATCTGTACCCCCACTCACTCACTTACTTCCCCTGAAGATCCCCCTTAGAATAGGTTTTCAGAAACCTATCTTTGCTGTAAGAGGCGACTAACGGGATCGTGTGGTCAGCCTCGCTGGCTTGGTTGATGCAAACCATGTCATCCCAATTGCGTGGATTGATGCTCATCATGTTAACTACTGGATTGTCTGTTCAAGACTCAATAATTTAGAGACCGCCATCATATAGCTGTAATACTGCTGAGTGGGGCTTTAAACAACAAACAAACAAAACACAGGCACACTCACAAAGATTGGGATATACACTCACAAACATTGTCCCACAATCGTTCACAAAGACTGATCCACACACTCATACAGATTGGGGGTGACGGGTGGCCTAGTTGTCTAAAACGCCGCGATTCGATGTGCAGAGTTGCGTCCCTTGGGCACGCCAGAAACCTATGATTGTGGGTTCGAATCCCGGTTCGCCCCGATTATGTTTCTAGATTTGTCATCACCATACCCGTTCTCGTGGGTTTCACCGAAATGGTAAACGTCTGAGACCTGCATCACTTCGGGCTTTCCTCCCACATTAAGCTGACACTCCATGATATAACTGGAATACTGTTAAAAGCGGCATTAAACCCAACTCACTCACTCACTCATACAGATTGGCCAATACATTCATTCACAAAGATTGATCCACACACCTGCTTGCACAAATTGGCCCATACACTTACGAAGCTTGGCCAAGACTGACAAAGAATGACATGTACAACAAATAATGTCAATTGGCCAATACATTCATTCACAGAGATGATGTCATTAAACTCACTCAGATGATTGGCCAGTACCATTCACTCAAAAAGATTGGCCCACACATTCACGCACACAATTTACACACTGACAAAGACTGGCCCACACACTCACACACAAAGATTGGCCCACACATTCACGCACACAATTACACACACTGACAAATCTGCATAGCCCATCCTTCACCTACAAGATTGCTCCCTTTTTCACTAACACTCTTACACTGGCTGGCCCTACCAGCTCTTACTTCCCCCTGCCCACCCATATTCTCATTTAGGTTGATGAGTCTAATACCCCTGTAGTGTGGAGCCAATCTTCTGTGATCTATTATATCACCAGTGTGTAGCTCCCTGGCATCTCTGTGGCACACTCTATTAACAACCAAAGTGAATAGGCAAGGACGGCGCCACGGTGCAACTGACAACAGAGCGTCCGCAGTGGCTAGAGAACCCAGAAAAAGGGAGCCACATGTTATGGTGGTTTTGGGGGGGGGGGGGGGGGGGATGATCTGCACTCTCTCGTGCCACTTTTCACACCCGGTCCAACGAAAACATGGGTTTAGTCCCCCTAAAGAACCACACTAACTAATTGAAAACATCGTAGTCTCAGTGTGTGGAGATACGGGATGTCTCCACCACGCCTACTGCCAGTGCAAGTTGGAAATGTCACAGGCGTCATGTGAAAATTGACTTGCTATACACCACGTGCGTATCTTCACAAAATGCCAGTCTTACTCATACATCTAGTACATTGATGGTCATTTGTAGCAGCCTTGAGTGGTTATACCACTTCGTTTTGTGGTCAGTTACACGCCATTAAATAGTTTTGACAAGAAAGGTTATGAGGCAACCCAAATTGTATTCTATAGTCCATCAGATCCACCGGCAAATATATATCTTAACTTTTATTAAAATCTTTGAGAAAAAAAGAGTTTATATAAGACACGCCGGAGATCTCTGTCGACGTATAAATATCCACCTTTGACTTTTTGGCACTTCTTTGCACTTTAATGACAAACCTGCCTAGACTGTTTGAAAGTTCATGCGTGTCACTGTATCTTTGCACTTGGTTTAATTCATAGGTCACACAGTTTTTTGGCGTTCAGAGCGACAAACGAATGCATCCCATTCCCACCAGAATGATTATTTTCACACAAGATTTTGGTCCATATTTCGTGAAGAGAATATACATGCACCCAAGGGCTTTGAGGGGAAACGGCACGATGAGGTGGGGTTGAGGGGTTCGTTCACGATTGCCATCCATGCCTCGTGTAGATAAACTATGCAAATAAATTCACTGGTTCAAGTTCTTAGATTAAGATTTTTACTTGTTAGTTTTTTATAATGTAATACCAGTTAATTAAAATGAACCCCTGACGGATATTTCCTGACATTGTCAAATGTGGTGCGTATTTGTGAAATATGTAACTTGAATTATTTGAACTCAAAAAGGATCTGTAGAAAGCTTCCAACTTCAGCCCAAATAAAATACCAGTACAATTCAAGGCTTCCAATAAAAGAGAGTTGTTATGTGCTAAAATATAAAACCTTGTAAGTGAGCATATAATCATCATCACAGTTACATTTTTCTGGGGGGCACGGGTGGCCCAGTCGTCTAAGGCGCCGCGATTCGCTGTACAGAGTTGCGTACCTTGGGCACGCCAGAAACCTATGATTGTGGGTTCGAATCCCGGTTCGCCCCGATTATGTTTCTAGGTTTGTCAGCACCATACCCGTGCTCGTGGGTTTCACCGAAGTGGTAAACGTCTGAGACCTGCATCACTTCGCGCTTTCCTCCCACATTAAGCTGACACGCCGTGATATAACTGGAAAACAGTTAAAAGCGGCGTTAAACCAAACTCACTCACAACATTTTTCTGTATGTGGGGGCCCAAGTCGCCCAAGGCACCGCACTTCGCTGTGCAGAGTTGCGTCCCTTGGGCACGCTACTAACCTGAGACCTGTATCACATACAAATGAAATACTGTTCAAAGCGGCGATAATCCCAACGTATATCATATAAGAACGTCTAGGTCTGGCTGGTGTTATTATTATAGGCACCTGGGTGTAAATATCAGACAATAATGCAATGTCTTGTGTAAGTGTTCGGACAGAAACCTCTTTGAAAAGAAATTATCTTCGATATGATAAATATGACAAATAAACTTCCCCCTTATACCACAGTTACACGGAAAGCTTGCTGTCATGTCCGATCTAGACTGTCTAATATTATATCCGTTAGCCAAATCTACTCCA